TTGGCTATTGTGGACATTGCTGCTATAAACATTGGGGTGCAGGTGTCTCGGCATTTTACTGCATCTGTATCTTTGGGGTAAATCCCCAGCAGTGCAATTGCTGGGTCATAAGGCAGATCTATTTTTAACTCTTTGAGGAACCTCCATACAGTTTTCTAGAGTGGCTGTACCAGTTCACATTCCCACCGACAGTGCAAGAGGGTTTACACAGATATTTTCTGAAAAATCCTTCCTTTACTAAGTTGGCCAGGATACAGAAGTCCTGGAAGTTCTTGTATCATTTTTATCAGTTTGCTAGGTGAGGAAGCTGAAAGATCTTAAATGGCTCTTGTATCATTTTTATCAGTTTGCTACGTGAGGAAGCTGAAAGATCTTAAATGGCTCTTGTATCATTTTTATCAGTTTGCTAGGTGAGGAAGCTGAAAGATCTTAAATGGCTCTTGTATCATTTTTATCAGTTTGCTAGGTGAGGAAGCTGAAAGATCTTAAATGGCTCAACCAAAGATAATAGTAATTAATAATAACTATTTCTTGAATATGTATTATGTTCTAGCTACTACATTAGATGCTTTGCATACCTAAGACAGAAACTGCTATCTGTCCCATTATCTGTTCTTACCTATACATGAAGATTGTATTTCTCAGTCAGCTTTGTAGCTAGATGCAGCCCTGTTACTAAGATTTGTTCGATTAATGAGATATGGGTGGTAGAAGTGTTTGTTTCCTAGAGGCTGCTGAAAGGAAGGAGTCAAGTGGTAAACAGGGCATCATTTCTTGTCCTCCCACCCCTCTCCTCCGAAATGCTGTAAGGAGTGAATGTGTGATGGATAGAGCTGCAGAAGTCATCTCTGACCACAAGGTAGCCTGAGAATGGAAGTCATACATGGCAAAGCACAAATATAGGGGGATCCTGGGTCTTTGGTGACTTATAGGACTGTCATATCAAGCCCTGGACTGCCTGATTAGATTTCTTTTACATAGAGAGTTAACTGTGTGTATTTAAGCCATTATAGCCTGGTCAGGGTTATACCTAATCCAAACTGAATTAATACCTTATTTCATGTAATCCTTATAGTAAGACCTGATTTAGTCATTACTTAACTACTACACAATTCTACTCCACCCCTTAGTTGAGAGAACCATCTCATCTGAGGCTTTAAGACCTCTATTTCCAGGGTGCCTGACTGGCTCAGTTGGTGGAGCATGCAACTCTTGATCTTGGGGTTGTAAGTCTAGCCCCATGTTGGGTGTAGAGATTACTTGAAAATAAAACCTAAAAAAAAAAAAAAAGACTTCTATTTCTCCTGAGGACAAGCTCAGGCTAGCCTTATCTGGTAAAGACAGACAGCTCTACCAATGTTCTGCACCTACAGGAATAAATCCCTGTTCTCCCTCCCATTCATGTTTATTTGCTTGTTTTTAAAATAGGCTCCATACCCAATGTGGAGCCTGACATAGGGCTTGAACTCACGACCCTGAGATCAAGAGTAGGACACTTAATTGACTGAGCTACCAAGGCACTCCAGCCTCCCATTCCTTTTTTATTATTGCTTCTTGTTTTTTTTTTTTTTTTTTATGATAGTCACCCAGAGAGAGAGAGAGGCAGAGACACAGGCAGAGGGAGAAGCAGGCTCCATGTACCAGGAGCCCGACGTGGGATTCGATCCCGGGTCTCCAGGATCGCGCCCTGGGCCAAAGGCAGGTGCCAAACCGCTGCACCACCCAGGGATCCCTATTATTGCTTCTTGTAATAAGGTTTCTGACAGGGAAATATAATGCTGAAAGACATCCTATTTATTAATAGACATATTGCTGTTCAATATGAATAAATATGATTTCAGAAGTCTTACTTTTACTCTAGCAGTTTTGTATATATCCTGCATTTGTGCATCCCAGGATAGCTTTGTAAGTATTATTTCTCTAACCCTTGCAACCACCCCATTCACATTTTTCCATCAGTTATTTTTTTGTTAATAAACTGTAACTTTACAGCCGTTTTTCCCCATTTATTTCCAGTATAATTAACATAGAATGTTATGTTAGTTTCAGGTGTACAATATAATGATTCATCAATTCTATACATTGCTCAGTGTTCATCATGATAAGTATATTGTCCCTTTCACCAATTTCACCTATCTCTCCACCTACCTCCTCTCTGATAACCATAAGTTATTTTTCTATATATTTAACAGTCTGTCTCCTTCTGTTCCCCATAATCATTTGATTTGTTTCCTAAATTCCACGCATGAGTGAAATCATACGGAATTTGTCTTTCTCTGACTGACTAATTTCCCTTAGTATAATACTCTCTAGCTCTCTCCATGTTGTTGCAAATACCAAAATTTTGTTCTTTTCTATGGCCGAGTACTATTCCATTGTGTTTATATATATAATATCTTTATGCATTCTTCTATTGATAGACACTTGGATTGCTTTTGTAATTTGGCTATTATTTATAATGCTGCAATAAACATAAGGGTGCATATATTTTTTTCAAATTCATGTTTTCATATTCTTTGGATAAATACCCAGTGGTGGCAATTACTGGTCATATGGTAGTTCTATTTTTAATTTTTTGAGGAGCCTCCATACTGTTTTTCACAGTGGCTGTACCAGTTGGCATCCCCACCAATAGTGTACGAGAATTCCTTTTCCTCCATATCCTCACCAACATTTGTTTCTTGTGTTTTTGATTTTAGGTGTTCTGACTTGTATGAGGTGATATTTAATTATGGTTCTGATTTGCATTTTCCTGATGATTAGGGATGTTGAGCATCTTTTCATGTGTGTTGGCCATCTGTATGTCTTCTTTGTAGAGATGTCATTTCATGTCTTCTGCCCATTTTTTAATTGGATTATTTGTCTTTTTGGTTTTGAGTTGTATAACTTCTTTATAAATTTTGGATACTAAACCCTTATAAGATGTATCATTTGTAAGTATCTTCTCCCTTTCAGTAGGTTGTCTTTTTTTTTTTGTTGATTGCTTCCTTTGTTGTGAAGAAACTTTTAATTTTGATGTAGTCCCAATAGCTATTTTTGCTTTTGTTTCCCTTGCCGTGGGAGTTATATAGAAAAATGTCAGAGAAATTAGTGCTTGTGTTCTCTTCTAAGATTTTTTTTAAGATTTTATTTATTTATTCATGAGAGACCCAGAGAGAGAGAGAGAGGCAGAGACACAGGCAGAGGAAGAAGCAGGCTCCATGCAGGGAGCCCAATGTAGGACTCGATCCTGGGACTCCAGGATCATGCCCTGAGCTGAAGGCAGGCGCTAAACCGCTGAGCCACCCAGCAATCCCCTCTTCTAAGATTTTGATGGTTTCAGGTCTCACATTTAGACCCTTAATCCATTTTGAGTTTCTTTTTGTGTATGATGTAAGAAAGTAGCCAAGTTTTATTTCTTTGCATGTATCTGTCCAATTTCCCCAGTATCATTTGTTGAGGAGCCTATTCTATTCCAATTGCATATTCTTGCCTCCTTTGTCAAAGACTCATTGACCTTATTATAATCGTGGGTTTATTTCTATGCTCTTTATTCTCTTCCATTGAACTCTGTTTTTGTGCCAGTTTTGATTTTGATTACTGTTTTGATTACTGCAGCTTTGCAATATATCTTGAAATCTGGGATTGTGATATCTTCAGGTTTGTTCTTTTTCAAGATTGCTTTGTCTATTTGGGGTCTTTTGTGGTTCCATACAAATTTTAGGATTATTATTTACAACTATTTTAAAAAAGATTTTATTTATTTATTCATGAGAGACACAGAGAGAGAGAGGCAGAGACATAGAGGGAGAAGTAAGCTCCATGCAGATAGCCCGATGTGGGACTCGATCCTGAGACTCCAGGATCATGCCCTGAGCCAAAGGCAGATGCTTAACCACTGAGCCACACAGGCATCCCTACAACTTTTTTTTTTTTTAAGATTTTATTTACTTATTAGAGACACACACACAGGCAGAGGGAGAAGCAGGCTCCATGCAGGGAGCCCGACGCGGGACTTGATCCCAGGACTCCAGGATCAGGCCCTGGGCCAAAGGCGGCGCTAAACCCCTGAGCCACCCGGGGCCACCCCCTACAACTATTTTTTAATAGATAATACCAAATAACTTTCAGAAGATATACTATAGCCAAAAGAATTAAGTAGTCTATAGTTTCATCTATATGCTCCCATTCTGAGAAGTGAGTTGGTTACTACTTTGTTTTCACATATTGCTTGCTAAAACTAAATCATGAAATATAACTATTATTCTTCCCTTTCTCTTTACATACCTAACTTATCAGGAGACCTTCAAGAGATTAATATAAGCCTGATAATTTTAGTTAGAACCATAGGGTGAGTTGCACATCATTGTCTGGTTAAAAAAGTAAACAGGCAAAATGGCATATAGTAGGCACCACGTATGTTAGTTCCTTTTCTCTCTTCTTACCACCTGTTCCTCAAATTTTATAGCCAAACAACTACTAGGTTCTACTAATCAACTAATATGTTACCATCCTTCATATGTTGAACAGTCTTTAGACCTAACATGATGCTTCTCACTCATAGACAATAAATATTTATTACACAAAATGCCTTGCTTTTCTATAATAACCTATATATGTAGAGCTAAAAGAACTCTATTTGAGGAGAATATGACAGCAATTTTAGATGTGTTGGGATTAAAGAAATGGTCTGAGAGTGTCTTTTGTCCTGTATGCAGGACAATTTTCAGTGCATTTGAAATTTGGCATTTAGAGATTATAATGAGTCTTGAGAAGAAATGAGATTTTTGAGAGAAAGAGAAGTTGAGGAAATGAAGAGTAGAGAAATAAGAAGGGAACTTTTAGAAGTTGGAAAGAAGTCAACAATGACTTGTAACAATGATGCAAGATATAGAAGCATCTAGTGTTAAAGAAATCAAGGCAGAGAGAAATTTTAAGAAGAGATAGTTCATTCAAGGATATCAAATTCTATGAGATAATAGTTTCTAAAAGGAAATCATGAAATTTCTTGTTTCCCTCAGTCTTATTCAGGCTCAACTAGGATGCATTCCCATACAAGACTTTGCTTTGACACAAGATATCTCGAAGATTTTTAGAAATGGCTCACGAATTACAAGATGTATGTTATAGAATTAATGGATTTTCAATATTTTTCCCAGTAAACTAGTATACTAGATTTAACTTTGGAAACTTTTTTTTAGGGTTGTCAGATTTTGTGGCTGTTCAAGAAAAGTTTGCTATATTATTGAACAGTTTGATTTTAGCTAAATGTTTTAGATGCAAACTTTGGGAAAACTCTCTACATGTATCCAAACAGCTGGAAAAAATAGGTAGGTACTGAATACAGGCAGGCAATTTGTCAATGTCTGCACTTTATTTTGCTTTTCATTGTCAGGAAAATTATGGTGTTTACAGACTTTGAGAGAAAAATGTGTTTGTAGGCTTAGTACTAAACTTTATTTCTCTTGAAAATCTGATTTTTGTTTTCTCCTGCTTGAAAGATTCCATTTGAAATCAATTGGGAAACCTAATAAAAATGAATAATCTTATTTTTACATTTGTTCTCAAACCAAGAGTGAAATTTTGTTTTAGTAATTAGGTAACTATGTGTTGCTCTCTCTCCACTTTTATGATTATTTGATCTCAATGACAAGATACAGAGCTAGCAATCCTGGCCATTTGTAATTCATTACAGAAAATTATATCACTTACTTATATCTTAACTTTTCCTCTTTTTTTCAATAACAGGACAATGTTTGCACTGATCTTCATAAAGATTCTATAGACAAAAGATTGTGCCTAATTATTTCGTATCTATTGAGGTGTAGCTCAAGTTACATACTGAAAAATGAAAAACTCTAGAGGGAGCCAGTTATAAAAACTGGGGTATAACTAAGTTCTCGAGTTTTCTAGTTGGATGCCTTTGATTTTGTGACCCTACTTCTTCTGGATACCTGGAACTCTAAGAAGAGTGTTGTTATTCCATGACTGACAGCTTTGTTAGCTTTATAATTTTATGTGCACCTAGGGGACTTTAAAAATTATATAATGGGTTTTTAGGGATTGTCTCATTATTCCTTAGAACAAAAATCTCCGACTATTTTGTGAGGAAGTTCTTTTTTTATTCTTGAAGTTTGATATCAGTGGGATGGCGGGACTGACTAGTCCTGGGAATTAGCTGTGAAAGTAAGGTCAAGTTAGAGGAGAGATTCTTGACATTAAGTCTCCCCTTTCTACTGAACTCCTGGCAAACCAAATGCTGAGCCCATTTCACAAAGATAATTCTAATGTAGGAAGGAGGTTCCATAAAACATTTAGGAAGTAACAACTTACAGAAATTTTTGAAATTAGAATAAATTATTACTTAGAAAATTTTCATTATATTTGAAAAGGACAAATACAGACTTTCTGACTTACTAGAATATTGTCAATCAGGTATCATTTGCATTCCATCTCTTCCAAATTGTTGAACACTAATGTGTTTTTTACACTTACTCAGTGTGGCTGAAGAGAAAGAAGCAAAAATTGCTCAGCAAAACTCATACAATAGAAAAATGAGAGAGTCTAAAAAAAAAAAAAGCAAATCTAAGTCCTTCCTGAACATCAGGAAAAAAAATGAATACAAATTGATTTTCAACAATGTTTATAAAAAAATAAAATTCAGGAAAAGCTTTGAGGAAAAATGAACATGAAGGAATTATTAATACTAGGAGTTGTATCTTAAGAACGAATAAGAGGAATTCCCAAGGATAGTTAAAGGTATGGAAAAAGATAGAGTGTAATATCCCCACCAGCAGTATATGTGCCTTAGACAAGATGGTAATATTTTAGAATTTTACACTTCTGGCAGTATCTCCTATTTCAGAGTTTGGTTAAATTCATTTGTGAGTATAAGAATTTTATATATCCAGTTTCTTAAAGTAGTAACAGAGAAAGTATGAAGATGGAAGTGAACTTGATGTTTTTGAGGATCAAAATTAATGTGGCTAGAGAGTAGTCAGCAAGAGGGGAATGGTAGCAAATTAAGTGGGACACATAGGCTGTGTAATCAAGTCAAATAGGTAATGGAGTTTGCTCACGGTAGGGAATTGTCACTATTCTAAATGCAATGGAGAGGAATTGAACATTTTAAATGAGTAAAATTATCTGATTTCAGTACAGAAGCATAAAACTCTGTTTCTCAGATAGAAATGCTCAGAGAGCCATAGCTTTATGAAGCAATATTCTCATCTATAAATCATGTTGCCTTTTTTCAAACATGACTATAATATGTAACAATAGGAATTACTTGATACTTCCTATGGATGATATATGATAAAAATAAGGGTTGAGTCATCATATGGACCAAAGAGTTCCTCCTTTTTTCTATAAAGCACCTACACGTTTTATTTCAGTTTGAAAACATAAATATGAACAATTGGATAAATGTCACAGCCCAACTAACCCAACTGAAGACTTTTTCAAAAACCTTTAAGAATTAGTTATTAATCTGAATCTTTAAAAAAATTTGTTTTACTAATGTCATTGTTGAAAGCTTAAGAATAGATGTAGATTAAAATGGATTGTTTAAGAACTGCTATTTGATTAATTTTCCACAGGTATAACATTGTCAAATGCAATGGTAAATGCAGGTTTGACTTCCTTTAAAAAAATAGAAGAAACAGATGCAAGGGAACTTGAACTGGTATTTAATATTCACTTATTCCTAATGTTACCTGGATTTTATCCTAATTTTAAAGCTTACTTTTTATATCTTTATTTTTTCTTAAAAATTGTTTTCCTTCTCATAGTCATAAGTATTTTAACTTAAGGTTTTAGGTAATAAGCATTATTAAAGCTATTGACTCTAAAAAATATACTAAAATAACTTCTTATGGTAAGAATATAATGATATAAATGTTTTTAGATTTTAAATAGACACCCCCCTTTTGGAACACAAATAAAAGAAACAGTGATGTATCTACCAAAATATGAACTTGAAGTGGAACAGGTAAATATTTTCTGGGTTTTTTTTTTAAGTATTTCATTGTCTTTTCAGGAATAAAGCTACCTATAGCTGACTTGGAACTGAATATGAGTAGTAAGGTTATTTTTAACACCTTTTATGCCTATCCTTTTTTTAAAGATTGCAAGATACAGTGATACCATGGCAGAAATATTAGTGACAATTATATTAAGAAACTTTGAACAGCTACAAGCTAGAAGAACATCACCAGATTCTCACTATGTTACCTTAATCATAGGTGATGCAGATAACCAGCTGGTTTTTAAGCACAAAATTATGTAAGTATAATTTCCATTTGATTTTATTTCTAAGCATATACTATAAAAGAAATATTCTGCTGAGAAAGAGTAGTAAAATCCACTGTGGGATTAATTAAATTACATTTTCCTTATGCTGTAATGGGGTAGTTTCTTGTCTGTTAAAGAAGGTATTAACATTGGTCTGTTGTTAGTACTCAAATGAACGAAGTGTGAAATCTATCACCATGGTTTGAAACGAGTGAATAAATGATCTTTAGGAGTAGCTGTAGCCCACTTTTGTTGAACTTTCTTATTTTGTTGCTTGTCGCCATTCACAACCTGTACTCTTTGATTACCTTCCTTCTGCTCCTTCAAGATATATCTAATATTTCCAAATTAAAACCCAACCAACTACTATAGCTTCATTTTAGGATCAGGCAACAAGATCAAATATATAAAGGAGGTATCTTTCCTTACACCTGGTTCTCTAGCATGCCATTCTATGGTTTTTACATCAGCCTTTTTTCTGATACTGTTATTTTCTCCCAGGATGCCATAAGCAAACTCTAAGATTATCAGTTATAGCTATAGCCAATATTTTTCGAGCTCTTAGTAGGTTCCAGGTGTTGAATTGTTTAAGTTTTGTATAGACAGGTGCTATCATTATCTTAATTTAATAGAGGAAGAAATTGAGACTGAGAGTTTAATTTGCCAAGGTCATATAGGTAGTTTATAGCAAAGTCTAGATTTAAACCCAAGCAGTCTGACTCCAGAGCCTATGCTCCTAATCATATTATTTGACTTGTAAATTCAGGATTGGCAGTGACTCTGAAATGGGAATCTCTTCATTGTTGTCAGAGTACTGGAGGATATCTTTCTAAAATATTCTATGCAATGTAGTCTATTCCTAAAGAAATAGAGACTTTGTCCTCTGTGACAATTAAGTCTGAAGGCAGTCTTGAGTATATAAATCTAAAATAAATTAAATCGCAAAATTGGTTGCTGGTTTGTAATGTTTGTGGATACAGACTATTTTACATGAATTTTAAAGATACTATTCAAATTCTCACAAATTCATGTAAGCTGTGTATAACCATTTAAAAGTGGTAGTGACTGGGGCAAGCTCATGGGTTGTTGATGTCAACTCCGTATTCAGGTGGGCCTGAAAGGAGGCAACGCAACTTGGAATCAGCTGTTGGTCAATATGTAGTTAAGAAAATTATGGTTGTGGTAGCTGAATTGACACTCCATTTCTCCCTCCTCAGAATCTGCGGCAAATAGTTTTCAGTACTGACTTCAGTTTACTACCAGATAGGACCTATCTATGGGTTAGTCTGCCCTTGATGATTAATATATTATTTCATTTAGTATTTGGATCACTATTTAAATGATACATTGCTTTTTTTCAGGGATTCTGTTTTACTAAAAGCTGGAAATTGGACTAAAAAGATTGATGTGAGGAGAGCTTTTAAATCTGAAGATCTTAGCATAAATCTAATTAGTTCTGAGTATGGTAAGTTCATTGAAGTAATGTAAAGAATATGATAACATTTAAAAATTTCCTTCATGCTGAAACAGAAAAGCAATTTAAATGATACTGGGTAAAGGTAATTTATTTAAATAATATGAATAATTTTAAAGAAAGTTCCATGTATTTAGATAGGTAAAAGCGTGGACTAGGTTAAAAAAATTAAAATTTTATCTGTTCATTTATAGGTATTTTATTTTTCGATAATAAAACTTAAATTGTAGGAACATTGATTTTTATTTTTGTGGTGTATAAATTTTAATTTGTGATACTTTTAACCCCCCCCCCCTTTTTTAACATTTTTATTTCCTGGACTTATTAGCTCTTTCATTTCAAAAGATACAGAAATATGAGAAATATAAAAACAAATAAATGATTTCATGGCTAGATTTATATGACTTAAATAAGTACTTGTATACTTTTTTTCCTTTTTCTAGTTGGACTTGATATTCAGCAGAAATTTACAGTATTTTACTTAGGACCCAGGAGGCTTGGAAATCAAATAATTATGCGAAAAAAATCAGAAACAGAGATTTCCCATTCTAAACATTCAAATAGATCTACTATAGCAGGACCCAATAAAGGTAAATAGCTATAATTATTCCTTTATTGCATTAAAGTTATGGCTAGGGAGGAGTATCAGTGTTATGGTACTGCTTCATTCAGATGCAGATACTGTGGAATTAGATCTTTAAGCTTCATAATAATTGCATTAATGATATGTAGTAGGAATTCTTATAATTAGTATTTGTCAAATTGGGGTGATATTTGGAGCACAAATTATTTGTCTAGTTTTTTGATACACATGCCTCTTTTTCATACCCATTCTATTCTTATGGCTATTGTTGGGGAAGAGTAAATGATATACAAGACTTTGTAGATTTGATGAGGCAAACCAGATGACAGTGAGTTTAAAAATTTTTATTACGGGGGCGCATGGGTGGCTCAGTGGTGGAGCATCTGCCTTTGGCTCAGGTCCTGATCCCAGGGTCCTGGGATTGAGTCCCGTATCAGGTTCCCCACAGAGAGCCTCTCCCTCTGCCTATGTCTCTGCTATTCTCCCTGTGTGTCTCTCATGAGTAAATAAATAAAATCTTTAAAAAATTTTTTTCAATTTGTTTTTATTATGGAGTATTTCAAACATATGCAAAAATAGACAGACCTGTATAATGAACCTTAATGTACTCATTACCTACCTTAAACAATGATCAAGTCACGGCTTATATTGTTTCATCTATACCTCTCTTCAGTTTTTCCCTTATATGTTTTGAAGAAAATTGAATATCATATTATAGCCTCTGTAAATGTTTCAGTATATATTTGTAAATGGTAAGGATTTAAGAAAAAATTTAAATATATTACTCATACATAAAAAGTGAATAGTAACTATTATCATTCAATACTGAGTTCATATTCAGATTGCTAATTATAAGTAAGGGGAGCAATTAATAGGTATTGAGGAATTTGAAGACTGTGGCTCCTACCAGAGTAACCTAAACAGTTATGTTTTCTGAATTGGTAGTAATAGCAACTGCAGTGAAAGAAGGCAGGAAGAGCACATGTGAACCCATTAACACTCATCTCCCTCCCCTTTAAAGAACACAGAGGAGGGTACCTGGGAGGTTCAGTTGGTTAAACATCTACCTGTGGCTCAGGTTGTGATCCTGTATCCTAGGATTGGGCCCCTCATTGGGCTTCCTGCTTAGGGAGGCATCTGCTTCTCCCTCTCGCTCTGCCCTTACCTCTGCTTGTGTCTCTCACGTGTTCTCTCTCAAAAAAAAAAAAAAAGTGCAGAAGAACTCCCATTTCTGGGTAGGATACAGTAGTTTGTGGCAGGCTAGGGCATTCACAGCAACAACTATTAAGTCTACCCAAGTTATAAAAATTATAATTTTTAGGACATTTGTGAAAGCAGATTAAAGGAACTAAAATTCCAGAGGGAGAACCATTTCAGGGCTGAGGAGTCCAGGACCTGTAGGCTCTTAATTAAAAAGCTTGAGTATGCCATGCTCTCAAAAAGAGTTTCTATTATCAGCCACTTACCATGTTTGCCTGAAAGAGGAAAAGGAAACCTTCTTTGGTGTAATACAAAATAATCTAGAATCTACAGACACAATGTCTGCCACAATAAAAAATGAGACTTTCAAAGAGGCAAGACCATATGACTGATAATTAACAATGTAAAGATGGGGATCCCTGGGTGGCTCAGCAGTTTAGTGCTTGCTTTCAGCCCAGGGTGCGATCCTGGAGTCCCTGGATCGAGTCCCACATCAGGTTCCCTGCATGGAGCCTGCTTCTCCCTCTGCCTGTGTCTCTGCCTCTCTCTCTCTCTCTCTCTCTCTCTCTCTCTGTGTGTGTCTCTCATGAACAAATAAAATCTTAAAAAAAAAAAAACAATGTAAAGAAAGTGAAGCAGCTCTGTAGATGATTCAAATTAAAGAGCTAGCATTCAAAGATTGTAAAATAACTATATTTAATATTTTCTTTTTTTATATTTAATATTTTCAAGAAAATAAAGGAAAAAAATAGTGAAAGGCTGGGAAATTTCACCAGAAAATTGTAACCCATACAGAGATTTAAATGGACTTTCTTGAATTGAAAAATACAATATCTGAAGTGAAAAAACTCATTGGTAGGTTTAATAATGGATTGGATATAGCCAGACTCAGGATTTGTGTACTGTTAGACATATCAAGAAAAAAATACTCAAAGCCCAGAGATAAGAGAATGGAAAGAACACAAAAAAGCATAATACTCAAAAGTTCTAAAATGTACATAATTAAAATCTCTGAAACAGAGAAGAATGGGACAAATGCAATATTTAGAGACAATGGCTGAGAATATTACAAAGTAAGAAAGATATCAGCTCATAGATTCAGAACTTTGCAGACCCAGGAGATAAGTACACAGAAAACCACAGTTGGGCATGTTATAGCAAAACTGCTGAAAATCTTAAAAGCAGCCACAGAAAAACTACACATTACCTTCAAAGGTGCAACAGTGAAACTGACAGCTGATTGATTTATCAACTATGATGATAGAAACAGAAGATAATGGACCAACAGCTTCAAAATGCTTCAAAAAACTGCTACCCAAGATTTCTACGCCCAGTGAAAAATATCTTTAAAAATGAAAGTGAAATGGAGACATTTTGAGAAGAAAACAAAATAAAACAAAACTGAAGCACTCCATCACTATTACTAAATTTATTGGCCGTCAGTAAAAGAGATACTTGAGGGAGTTCCTTAAAGGAAAATGACCACAGATGAAAGTACAGAAATGCTGAAGGGAATGAAAAATATTAGAAAGGGCAAAAAATGGCTAAATATAAATTAACTCTTGTAAAATAATTGAAATGACTTGTAGAGTTTTAAATGTATGTAGAATTAAAATGCAAAAATACTTTTTTTAAAAAAAGATTTTATTTATCTATTCATGAGAGACAGAGATACAGGCAGAGGGAGAAGCAGGCTCTGCGAGGAGCCTGATGTGGGACTCGATCCTGGAACCCCAGGATCACAGTCGGAGCCAAAGGCAGATGCTCAACCACTGAGCCACCCAGGCACCCAACAGAAATACTCTTATAACCTCAGGACTAAAGCATATCAAACATAAGGAATATAGAAGTACAGAAATAATAAAGATAAAAACAGAAGTGAATGAAATATAGAATGTAAATGTACAACAGGAAAAATCAACAAAGCTAAGACAGAAGCCAAAACTAACAGAAAAAAAATTTTTTTGAGTAGTCTGATACTTGTAATAGAATTGAAGCAATTAAAAATCTTTCCACAGGGACGCCTGGGTGGATCAGTTGTTGGGCATCTGCCTTCGGCTCAGGGCATGATCCCGGAGTCCGGTGATCAAGTCCCATATTGGGCTCCTTACATGGAGCCTGCTTCTCCTGTCTCTGCCTCTCTCTGTGTCTCTCATGAATAAATAAATAAAATCTTAAAAAAAATCTTTTCACAAAGAAATCCTGAGGGACTGGTGATCTTATTGGTAAATTTCCCCCAAACATTTAGGAAAAATAATAATCAAACTTAGCCAAATTTTTTCATAGGATAGAAAATATTTTCTAATGCTTTTTTTGAACAGGACCAACATGGATATCTTGATGTCAAATCCTGACAAGGACATTAAAAGAAAGAGAAATTATTGACCAATGTATCTCATGGAAATAGATCCAAAAGTTTCTTAACAAAATTAGCGAGTTGAATCCAGCCATATATTTAAAAAGCATAATACAAGGATCCCTGGGTGGCGCAGCGGTTTGGCGCCTGCCTTTGGCCCAGGGCGCGATCCTGGAGACCCGGGATCGAATCCCACATCGGGCTCCCAGTGCATGGAGCCTGCTTCTCCCTCTGCCTATGTCTCTGCCTCTCTCTCTCTCTCTCTCTGTGTGTGACTATCATAAATAAGTAAATAAAATAAAAAAAAATAAAAAGCATAATACAGTACAATTAAGCATGGCTTGTTTCACCCTTAGCATTCATGTATTTCACTACATTAGCAGGAATAAAAAAAGAGAGAAAAAGAAACTATGTGATCATCTTGATAGAGGTCAAAAAAGTTTGACAAAAATCAATTCTCTTTGTATTTTAATGCTCATTTTTTATTAAAAAAATATATAACAAATGTCATGCACAATAGTGAAATAGTTTTAAGGCTTTCCTATTTAGATAGAAGATGATATAAAAATGTTCTCTATTACTATATTTAACATTGGGTTAGAAGTTCTAGTCAATACAGTTCTGTAATAAAAAGAAATAAAAGTGATAAGGATTGGGAAGAAAGGAATAAACTCTCAGGGGTGCCTGATAGTCTGCCATCAGCTCGGGTCATGATCCCGGGGTCCTAGGATCGAGTCCTACTCCCTTCCTGCAAGGACCCTACTTCTCTGTGCCTATGTCTCTGCCTCTCTGTCTGTGTTTCTCATGAGTAAATAAATACAATCTTTAAATTTAAAAAAAAAAACAGAAAGAAATGAGCTCTCATTACTTAAAAGCAACATGATTATATACTTAGAAAACCCAAAAGACTCCACAGACACACTGGAACTAATATATAAATTTAGAAATATTACTGGATACAGAGTCAATATTAAATTACAATAGCACTAAAAATAATAAAATATTTAAGAATACATGTAATAAAATTAATGCAAGATGTGAACACAGGAAACTACAAACCCCACTGAGAGAAATTAAAGAAGATATAAATAAATGGAAAGATATTCTATGTTCATGAATTGGATGTCGTAATATTGTTAAGGGGGCGACATTTTCCAAATCAATCCGCAGATCACTGCAATCTCTGTCAAAACCCTAGCTCTGCTTTTGGCAGAAATTCACAAGCTGATTTTAAAATTCATGGGAATGTGAGGGATCCAAATTAGCCAATCAATCTATTAAAAAAAAAAAAGAACAAGGATAGAGGACTCACAATTCCTTATTTCAAAACTTATTACAAAGCCGTGTAATCAAGACAATGTTGTACTGGCATAATAATAGATATATAGATCAGTGGAATATATTTGAGAGTACAGAATTAAAGACAAATTGTACACTTTAAAAGGGTAGAT